GTGAACCTTTTTTTTTTTTGCACACGGCGGCGGAGGTCTAAAGCGAAAAGGTTTTATAAAACCCAGCTGAAGGCCTAGGACTGGGGTGACGGCACGCGTGCCCACAGAGAGGGCTCTGAGTGCCGCCTCCGGCACCCGTGCCATAGGTTCGCCACCACTGAGATAAGGTGTGATTTCAAATCAGCTGATTCAAAGCAACATTTCTTTCCCCCCTGCCTTCTGTTCCCCCCACGCAACAGGTAGTGTGAGTCTTAATTTCAAAAAAGTAACATAACCCCCCACTTCTGAGCTGCATTTAAATCTAGATTTCCCAACACCCGGTGCCCGTGTCTCTCTGGTGGTTCCTTTTTTTTGGTCTTGCACCTCTGATTGTTGGACTCTGATTTTCACAAACTGTTCCACAGTCTGTTCCTTCCCGCCTTTCTCTAGATTTCCCCCCCCCCCATGCCTGCCTTCTCCTTTCTGATCCCTGTCTGGGAATCGTGCCGAGAAAGGGATACGAGTGGAAGGCCAGCCCACCGAGCCTGGTCCCCGTTGAATCTCTTTCCTCTTCCATTTCCCCACCAGGTGTGGAGTTCGGGGCACGGATGATTTCCATTGAAAACAAAAAGATCAAACTGCAGATTTGGGATACGGTGAGGAACCCCAAAAAGCCTTTTTGGTGGGAGTGGTAGGGTGTGTGGAAGAGGGATCACTGGGACTGGACGGTCCAGAAGGAGCAAGGAGCAGTTGCTCCCAGCTCCCACTCCACCTTTATATCCTGCTGTGGTGCAGCTTGGCTCAATCTTTAGACCTGATAACGTAGTTCTGTGTGCGTCTCTTTTGTTCCAAAGGCTGGCCAGGAATCCTTCCGGTCTATCACACGCTCCTATTACAGAGGAACAGCTGGGGCGCTCTTGGTCTATGACATCACCAGGTGAGGCCCAAGCACAACGCACAATATCGAAGTGGATCGGGATTAGGTTTTATTGTTTAGCCCAGCGGTTCCCAACCTTTGGTTTTTGAGGGCCATCGATGGTCTGCAAGTTCTCCCAGGTAATCCCATTAAGCTGCCAGAATGATTGGGATAGAGAGATAGGTGAAATGAGCATTTCCTAAAGAGGCCAGTTTATTTATTTCTCTACTTAGAGAAGTTACGTGGCTGCCCATTCAATGTCAGTGACTCTTTAAGTGGCTTGCGCAAAATAAAAATCCCAATATACAATACCCCCCCCTCTTGGCGACAAACAACCATCTAACAGAGCTCTTGATGGGCTCGGTCCCACTCTGGGCTCCCCAGGGTCATTGGCAAAACCAGGGCCTTGCAAAAGAGTGTCAAATTGGGGGCCAGGGATGATGTTCCAAAGGGAGGGAGCCACCACAGAGAAGGCCCTTCTTCTGGGTCCCACGACATGTACCTTTTTATTAGGTTGCCTTGCATGTATACTGAGAGCTTCTGCTCTGGAGACAAATTCCTTGTGTATCTAATCACACTTGGCCAAATAAAGCTGTTCTAGTCTAGTCTAGTCTAGTCCCCATCCCATTCTACTGTTTCCTGCATCTCTCTCACGCTACCTTCCGTTAGAGCAGTGAACTAATTCTTATGTCAGACGTTCCTCTCTGCCATTATCATTTGGCACTATGTAAATCAGTATGGATAGAAAGTAAAGGTTTCTCTTCCCTCCATGAGTTTTGTCCCCTCCAGTCAAGTGCTCTCCCAATGAGTTGAGATCCAGTTTCCAGAACAGTGTCTGGGAATCTTGTGAGGTGGAGTCCAGGACATCTGGAGAGCAGTCCAAATAGGAAAAACTGATAGATAGATTAGATAGATAGATAGATAGATAGATAGATAGATAGATAGATAGATAGATAGATAGATAGATAGATAGATAGATAGATAGATAGATAGATAGATAGATAGATGTAGGTAGGTAGATAGGTAGATATAGATAGATAGATAGATAGGTAGAGATAGATAGATAGATAGATAGATAGATAGATAGATAGATAGATAGATAGATAGATAGATAGATAGATAGATAGATAGATGGATGGATGGATGGATGGATGGATGGATGGATGGATGGATGGATGATAGGTAGGTAGGTAGGTAGGTAGGTAGGTAGGTAGGTAGGTAGGTAGATAGATAGATAGATAGATAGATAGATAGATAGATAGATAGATAGATAGATAGATAGATAGATAGATAGATAGATAGATAGATAGATAGATAGGAAAGGTTTTTGACACCTTGCTAGGCTACTGGTGGTACTCGGATATTGCCGTATCCTAAAAGTGGTACAATGAGTGAAGAGGTTGAAAAGCTCTGAATTAGATGATGCTGGGAGGGGAGGAGAAAGAATGTGTGTGGGGATTAGTTAAGATAAGAAACCACAGAAAGGAAGGAAACTGCCCTTCAATCTAATTGGAGAACGTGATTTATGGCTGCAAATAAGAGTAGGGAAATAGGCTGGAATATTATGTGCTCAAAGGAGGGGAATTCAGATCTTGGCATCCTCCATGCTATGCCGACACTTTGTTACACAATTAAAGACTTTTTAGGTTAGGATAAACGATGTCTGGACGTTCTTTGAAGTGTCTCGTTAATCGGGAACCATGACACCTCCATGAAGCCCACCCTCTCAGCTTTGATCGTTCTCGCCTTCAACTTTGACCTTTGGTTTTTCCTAACCCCGCGCAGGCGAGAAACGTTCAACCATTTGTACGCCTGGTTAGAGGACGCTCGGCAGCATTCCAGTCCCCACATGGTGATCATGCTGATTGGCAATAAAAGGTAAGGGTGGTTTTTTTCGTTCTCTCCTAAATGTGTTGTTTTTTTTCCCAGGAGGCAACCGGACTTCCTTGTTTTTTTTCCTTTGAAGGCTTTTCGCTTCTCATCCAAGAAGCTTCTTCAGCTCTGACCGGATGGTGGGGCAATGGAAGGATTTAATATTCCTTGCAGACAGCTGGTCACTTGCCTTCTTTTTAGAGCAGGGATGTCAAACTCGTCGCGTCATGTGACATGTCGCGACGTATCATGACTTTTTTTCCCCTTGCTGGAGCTGGGGCGGGCGCGGCTTCCGCATGACGCATCCAGCCCGCGCAGGCTGGCAGTTTGACACCCCTGTTTTAGAGAGTCATTGAGGCCACTTGGAGGTTTACCTGTGTCCTCAGGGTCACCTGAGTGGTGCAAATGGGTGTGGGGCCTTCTTGGCTGCAGGATGTTTTCTGCCCTGGGTCCCTTCACGGTTGAAGACAGGCGCCCAGGCTGTTGGGGAGGAGTCTGTGTTGTCGGAATCTCAGACTGAAGCGCAAATGGTTCCTGTAGCCTGCAATGTTTTCTGGAAATCCGTTCATACTCCCACGCCATTCGAATGGTGTTCATCCTCAAGTGCATAGCTAAAGGTCTATGGCAGTGATGGCGAACCTTTTAGAGACCGAGTGCCCAAAAACTGGCCCCGCTCCGCCTCACCCTGCCTGCCCGCAGGGCCACTCACCACCTCCAGGGCCCGCCACAGATCGCCATGGCAGCCCAGCAGCGCCATGGCAGCCACGCCCTCTGCCTATGCCCTGCAGCATCAACTGTGCGCGTTGGGGTGTGAGGGCAGAGTCTTGTCTACGCTGCCTGGCTGCCATGTCCTTGGCTGCGCTGCTCCCCGTGGGCCACGCTCGGGGCGACTCTCCTCCAGGGAGGCTGCTGGTGAGGGGGTCGCGGGCGAAGGCAAGGCTGGGGCAACGGCATGTGTGCCCACAGAGAGGGCTCCGAGTGCCGCCTCTGGCACCCGTGCCATAGGTTCGCCACCACTGGTCTGTGGAGTTTCTCAAAGGGACAGCTCTGACCTGGATGACTGAGAATCTCCATAGACCAGTGGTTCTCAACCTTTTTAATGGCGCGACCCCAACCGGTCGTAAGTCGAGGACTAAACCGGTCATAAGTCGAGGACTAAACCGGTCGTACGTCGAGGACTACCCAACCGCACATGCGTGGTTCCGCCCCCTGCGCTGGCCGAGGTGTAGCTGGCAAGCGGCAGAGACGGAGCAGGCTGACCACCAGCTGGCCCAGCCCAAGGGAGGTAAGGCACCCGCTGGAAAAGGGGAAAAAAATGGCGGACAAAAAAAATGGCGGACAGCCTTGCTTGGCGACCCCCATGAAATGGTCGATCGACCCCAAATGGGGTCCCGACCCACAGGTTGAGAACCACTGCCATAGACATTTCTTCACTCTGGTTTTTCCTTCCTGCCTATTAATCAGCCCATGTCCGATTGTCTGCAGTTCCTCCAACCAAAGGTTGGCTTCTTCTCCTCCTTGTGCCATATCCGTTATCGGACGTCGGCGATCATGTTGGCGATCCTGTTTTTATCAGCAGCCGCACGAAAAAGTGCTGCTGAGTTTTGTCCCAACCAGTCCCTTAGATTTTGAAGCCACGATGTTCTTCTTCTGCCTGGACCTCGTTTGCCTTCAATCTTTCCCTGGAGGATTAAATGGAGTATGCCGTATTTTTTCTGGGTGTCGCATCACGTGTCCGAACTATTCTAACTTTCGTTTTTTAATTGTTTTGATGATTTCCTTGGGCTTTCCCAGGTGGCTTACCACCTCCTCATTTCTGAGGTTGGCTGCAACCGCAAAAGGGAGATCCACAATTTTGGAAACAGATGTTGCTGCTTTGGGGGAGTCACTGATAGGTGATTGCGAGCCTGATAGGCGATTGGCATTTGAATCCATGCAGCTCTAGGGTACACACCAGTACCCATCACTTGTCTTAGTGGGGTTGTTGGTGTTCTCTGTTTTCTTGAAGGCATTTCATTACCAAACTACGTAACATCATCAGTGCAAGTAGGGAGTGGGGGGGGTGATTTGTAGCAGGAAGGGCAACAGCTTCCTTACAAGCATCTGATCACTTTGGGAATCACATGGTTTTTCTGTTTCTCACGTTGCTCTTTAAACTTTGCACGCCATTTTTGGGCCCAGAAGTCCTTCCAGGTTAAAAATCCCATTGCAATCAAAAGAAGGTCGTTCATTTTTCCTTTGTTTCCATCCACCAATAATGTCCAGTTCTGAGGGGGGAAAAGAGATGAGAAAAGTCACGAGCACAGGAAATCTAGATGAGGAAAATAAAGGAGAATATTTGTAGCTCAGGGTTGAAATGAGGGGTCTTTGATGGTCTCGGAGCTTAGCTGTTTTCTTGCAGACCTTCCATTACCCAAACTAGGTACGCTGGCTGAGGAATTCTGGGAGTTGAAGTCCGCAAGTCATAAAAGGGCCAACTTTGAAGACCCCTGCCATAGATGCTGCTCATTTGAGTCATTAAAAAAAACAACGTAAGATAGTCCTCGACTTACAGAAGTTTGATTAGTGACCGTTCGAAGTTACAACAGCACTGGAAAAAAAAAGGGCTTAAGATCGTTTTTCACACTTAACGACTGTTGCAGCAAACCCCCTCCCCCATGTTCACGTGATCAAAATTCAGATGCATGACAACGGACTCGTATTTATGATAGTGGCATTGACCCCACGGTCATGCCGTCACCTTTTGCGACCTTCTGACGAGCAAAGTCAATGGGGGAAGCCAGATTCACTTAACAACTGCGTTACTAACTTGACAACTGCGGTGGTAAAATGGGCCCAAACTCAACGCAGCCGCTGTCTCTTGCTGTGCAGCCGAATTGTGGGGCTCAGTTGTGATCGTAAGTCGATCCGTAACCTTTTTTTTTGTCCCTGGGTGTGTTCGCTTCAGAGGTCCATCCAAGAGGGTTGAG